TGTAAAACAAAATCAAGGAGCCAATATTTGTCAATATGAAGGCCTCCTATGCACAATTAACAGAGTTTGCTAAGACAATCTTGAAAGATACTACAAAACAGAGGCAACCCTGAACTTTCACCCATCATGATGGATGGGCATACTCTCAAGGAGGCTCCTTTGCCTTGAATGTCTATTGGGTCTGAATGTCACACCAGACCTCAAACAGAATTTGTATATCCAATCTATTACTAAAGATGCTGGAAAATGATTGGTTCATTGTAACACTCTAGTAAGTAACTGACACTCTGTTATACTGGAACATACCTATTCTATTGTAATAGACTCTTCCACATATAATTAGTAGTAGTAGCAGTCACCAGGGAGCTCAGAGTGGAGTTGAGTGAGTCAGTCGATGTCGGACATTGAAGTATGAACCACCACAACTAGATTGCTGGGTCATTAACTATTACTTTCAAGTTCCTAACATTTTGTACGTCGAACCTAATTTAGGACCGACTTAGTGTAATACAAGCCTCCACTGTGAAAACTACTCTACAACACACTCCCTGCAATATCCTATCTTTACAAGAACCAGATCAGACCAAATCTTGGTTGTTGCTGCTACTCAGTCTTCACTTGCCTGTCTTCGTAGTCTTCAAATATCTCTTCACAGATTTGTGGATGATGGATTGTTTTCCATTCTACCACCCCTTTCCCACAAATGAAATATCATGAGCCTCTCACTACTCTATTGCTATTTCTATAGCATATATTCCTTAGTCCCACAATTCCTGACATTTACAACTGGGGCCCATGTAAAAAAAAAAAAAAAAAAAAAAAGGGGTGAATAATCCCCATTCCCTTAACATTCTGATAGTAAGAAATAAGTTCCATTCGAACAGCAAATTGTTGCAAAGCCAAAACATCAAAACCTGAAAACTTGGGTCATGTTTTAAATTCTTTTAATCAGAATTTTATTTAATAAATATTTATTTTCTTTTTATTTACTTATTTTTCTCCTCTTTTAAATCAGTTCACTTATTGCCCGGTTCACATTCCTCCCCAGTCTTTTGAACAGGAATAGAAGTTTTTCCCATGTTTCCGGTTGTGGATCGGTTTTCCTTCTAAAATCGAGTTCAACTCTGTACTTCAAATGTCTCTATCTGATTTCTTTCTCATTAACAATGTTCACCTATTGTCCAGTTCACACTCCACCCTAGTTTTTTGAACAGGAGTAGAGGTTTATCCCTTATTCCCTGTTTAGGATTGGGTTTCCAGTTCCTTCTAATCTTTTCATTCTCTGACTTCAAGTAGCACTACCCCCCATGTGTCTTAGTGGCATTGTTACCTTGCTTGGGGCAAATTGATTAAAAAAAAAAAAAAAACAGCCTCATCAGATCAAGACTTTCATATAGCTGTCATTCCTGGTGTCAGATCCATTCACAAATATCTAAACCATCAGCTGTATACAACCACTTCCTAAGATCAATGGTAAAAAATGGATTTGCGTGAATGGAGCCTTAGGGTCTTGGCAAAGATTATCCTTCTTTGAACATTATGGACTGGTACAATAGAATCCCAATCAAAGATCTGTACCAGATAGCAGAAACTATATCACTTGAGGAATGCCAACAGCTGTAACAGCTAAAATGGATAGCACATGTAACTCTAATAAAAAATAATGACATAATGAAAATGTCTACATTCAACACTCCTTCAAATAAAAGGTTAATCAATACTGGAAAGCACAATAAAAGCTACAGGTCTTGAGAAACCTATTTTCTTGAAAAATTGTTTTAAGAGAAAGATTTTATAAATTTCAAATATATTGAGTTAGACATACTTTTTTTGGAAGGGAGTCAGTCTATAATTAGAAATAAAGTAAACTAATAAAACATTATCTCGAATACAGTCATAATCTTGGTAGCCATATTCCAGCTTCACTACTATTTGCATTATTTACACAACTTGCAGTCTGGTTGTCCATAACGACTGAGTAGTGTTTTTGATCCTCACTGGGTGTCCCATACAAAATTTGACATTAATTGAACCAGTGAGGGTTAATATATTATAAAATCAACCAACCTATCTTTATATTCTGTTATTCTTGAACAATTACTGATCTCTCCAAATGGGATAAGCCTAAACCATTTTATCAAATACCCAAAATAAAATGGCTGCTAGCAGCTGAGTAATAAGAGATATCAAAAAATTCCTTAACCTATTCCTTTTAATGTACAATCCCTGTTAAGATCTTGTAATGCTCTGTTATGATTACAAATACAGAAGTAGTTTCTTTTCTCCATTTACTTATTCGGTAATTCTTAAATGGCAGCTTATTTCATGATTTACATGTAGGAGGTGCTTTGTTTAAATGCTTGTACATGATCTGCATGCATATCCACTTATCTATTTTATAAACAGTACAATTTGTTGCAGGTCTATAATCTTAAAATCATTGAAGGTAATGGATTATTTTACACAAAACATTGGCTTTTATTCTGATAGATTTTTTTCTTCGCAGTTGGATATTTGCCAACAAAGCAAGAAAGGGAAAAATCAGCAGTACCTGAATCAAACACTAAAGGAGCTGAACACTGGATCATGAGGAGCAGGGCATGAACAAGACTTCTATCTGGGAACACCACATCTATGGGATGAGCACACTTGAAACACTGGAAACACAAACAATACTGGGTAACATGGACAGAAATCTTTGGTAATGCAGTGCAATTACATCATATTGTTATAAAATAAAATAAAATAAGACATATCTCGACTGATTTACAGGCAAATAAACTAACATACTCAAGAGCGAGAGCCGGATGTGATCGGGACAAGGCCCTGTCACAAAATGACCATGACCTTCGTTTACGCATGTTCCCGACGTACGAGTTCTGGTCGAAAAATAAAATAATATTTTAAAGTGTTTCTATTTTTCAACCAATAAAAATGCTTCCCTCCTAATTATACTCACATCGTTTTTCAAGCCTGTTAAGCCATAAAAAAACGCTATAAAAGGGATCACACGGAAGTACAACGGGCAGTCAACAGGAGGCCAGGGAAGAGACCTGTCACGATCAGGCTGAGCAGTCAGCAGCAGGAGCACCATGCCAACCTGTGAGAACTACTATGAGAGATCAACCCATATCAGTAGCCGGCTTATGAACTACACCACAAGGTAGCTGTCCCAAACTCACACGTTCCTGTTGAAATAAATCACGTAAATCTATTTCTACTGTTGTCGTATTTCTTTCTTGCAACCATACGCATGTCTATAACAATATGGTCACACTTCCCTGAAAATGTGCCTGCTATTATGGAGCCTAGCAAAATAAATCATTTGGATTGCTAATACCAATCAGTTAACCGTACCAACTATCTTGTTGGGAAGCTTGTAGACACTTTCTTCATGACCAGGTGTTTCGGAGTTTGCACTGGCTCTGTTTCAACAGGACAGCCATTTACTTTTTTTCTGCAGAGACAGTACACTAAATGCTGTCTCTTTGACCGATGAGGGGCAGGTACCTACCATTATCACTAGTGGTTAGCAGCTCTATCTGAATTTTGTTTCTGCTATATATTCTTAAAAATGGATGTTTCTATAAAAATATTAGGAAGAATTTATGATTGAGGAATTGTTTGGAACAGTTTGTCTGGTTAACCATGACTACTGATTAGTGACCCTCAATTCCCTGTCCTTTACTCCATTATCCAATTGTATGGAGGAAATTCAAATCAAACAGCTTTTTCCAAAGAACTACTCATCCTGGATATGACGATAAACTGCATCCGTGTCCTGGGTAAGATGATAAACTATGTCCAGCAGCAAGGCTTGTTTCGAGCAGCATAGAACTACCTCTTAATTGCTAGTGTTCCCAGGTCCATCCTGACCCGGGGTGGTAGCACCTATTAGGGTCCCAGCTATGGGCAAATAGTTAACCCCAAAACTGGGGTAAAAACTCTATGAAAGTGTAAAAACAGGTTTTAATACCAGAAATGCTTTGTAAAAAAAAAAAAAAAAAAAAACAAACATTTCCAGCAATAAATTTTTGAAGAAAAAAAAAACTATTACAAACAATATGTTTTTCAAAAATAAATATTACTAGCAATACATTTTTGAAGGAAAAATATTACCAGAAATAGATTTTTAACAAAACAAAATATTACCAGCAATAAAAATTTTGTCAGCATTAAATAACCCATTGAGGTTGATATGTTGTAAAACAAACCAAACCAAACCAAAGAACTGCTACTTTTTGCTGAACAGACTTACATGTAGATACTTTCCTGAACATTAAATCTTAACCCCTTCAAGTCAAGGACCAGTCGTTCTTTGTCCTCTTAATCCTTCCTTCCTATTGCCTCCTCTTTCATTCATGTCACACACCTCATTCATCATGACTATTTTAACAGTAACCCCCCTACACTACAATCCTAACCTCTTCAAATCAAGAGTCACCTGTTATCTCTCCTCCTTATCCATTACTTCCTCATACATTCATATTGGGATCCTCATTCAATAACTCTCTACTTTGGGTGGTTCCCGAGCCTTATTGAATTTATTAATTCATTGGGTGAACATTAGTAACAAAAACAAGTGCTGCTGACCTGACATTCACAGCATGAAAAATGCAATTGGTAAATAAAGTTCAATTTCCAACTGCGATAGTTTGCACTTGCTTGGAACTGATATCCTTGACTCTATCTCTTCTCTTTTCAGCTATATTCATTTGTGCCACATTCAAGTGCCTTCTCCTAGACTGGTTGCCAACCAAGGCTGGTTGAAGAACCTGCTCTATTCTACTATTCAACCCCTAGCTGAGAGAAAAGATGAATTCATTGTCGCAAAATTCGGTCCAAACAATAGGAAGGGAACGGGTTGGTCTCGTAAAATTAGGTCCAAACAATAGGGGCCGGAAACAGGTTGGCCCGGCACCATCTACTTCCGGAAACACTCCTCAGCTTAACGACAGCTACAATCCAGCTACAACAACTCCACAGATCTTTGCACTCAAATGTTCCAACACCGCCTCGTAGTTAGCTACACACAACTCTCTCAGTGGTCTCCCGCCGTCACATTTATCCCAGCGAACACCAACCAATTTGCATACGCCCAAGTTCTCCTCTCGCCAATCCTCGCGGCTACGAGATCGCGTTTCCATAAGTCCGACTCACCGTAATGGTGGTGTTTCTTTCTTCGGACCAATTACTGCCCTACACGCCAGACACAAACGAACCCTCTTATGCCGAGAACTGAGGTTAGTCTCATTTTCATGTCCACACTGCCCCCCTGGTCTCAAGATCACACATGTGGCATTGCGGACGCAGTCGTTTGTTGCGGGCACTCCTACGAAGGGGATTGTCTGGACTTCTTCATCGGGACTCTCAGAAGGGGCGTCAGAACTATCAGCATCAGCGTCCGGGATCCATAGTCAAACCATCAGGCCCGAGGGGCATAGGTCAGATCCACAGTTCATCGCTGGATGATTCACCACTGCTGCTACTAGTCAACTGGTTCGTATTTAGGGCGGGCGGACATCCTTCACATGGCGTGGAGTACCATCGACCAGCACTGCTTGCTCATTGACGATGCGGTGATTCGTTTTTCTTTGAAAGCTGGTGGTGCACCGGCTATTGGGAGGCTTCACCCAGGCGGTGTCCCCTAACTTATACTGGCCCTCGTGTTTCCCGCCCGATCAGGCAGACACGCGTCAATGCCCTTGTTGCGCACTTGGTAGCGATGGATTGCATTGGCGGGTGCGCTTGCAGCAGTCACGGCATCCTTTGGTGTTGCATTGTATCTATAGACCGCCTCCGCTATCGTGCACTGCTTCCTGGCCGCGATCCTCTTCACGCTGGGTGGCACCGCTCTGCTATGCCGTTGCCACTCGGCACATATGCACAGCGGTGTCTGAGCCGGATCCCCCACTCGTTCTGAAACGTCTAAACTCCCGCTGCAGAAGGCCGTGTCGTTATCCGTAAGGATCTCTTCAGGCGGCCCCTTTCATAAAATATGGACTCCAATTCTCGGATGACACTGGATGAGTCCTGTCTTACTAATGGGCGCCAGATTGCGAACCTCGTCGGTCCGCAATCTTTCAGTGTGAGGAAATGCTGGCTGCCGTAATGGGTTATGTCCATACCCAGTCGGCCCCAAGTCGTGTCTACCCCCAGCCGACCCTTCCGCCATTTAGCTGGGGCGGGGTCGATTGACTGGCATGTTTGGCATTCCTTCACCACCGCTCTGACTTCACTTTTGGACACTGATGGATTGGTCAACTGTACAAAATAGCATGTCCGTCTCACTCCGGGGTGCCCACTGTTGTGGTGTATCTCCTTGATTTTGTCCGCCGCCTTAACAGAGGCAGCACATAGTAACCGTACTGGCTCAGTTTCTTTCTTCATGGCGCCATACCATCTCTGTGGCACACGAGTGAGCCTATCAGCAAGGTTGCAGTTTGAGGTGACAAGCACCGCATCCATAGATAGGTTGTACTCTGTTACCAGCTTTCTTATGGTCTCCAACCTCCGTCTGATCAGCATCTCGCTAGCCGCCTTGGTACGCACCCTGGCCTTGCCTGTCAGTGTGTCCGATATCCAGTGGTACACACATAACGAATCAGTGTGTATGTGTAATTTCTTAACTTTCCACTGGAGTGCCAGGTTGATGCCTTTTATCACGCATCGAGCTCTGCCAGGTTGATATGAGCAGCGTCATTCACCGTCGCAAACCAGCAGGCGTCCTCAAACGCAGCCCCATTCTTCTCCAACAGCACACCAATCGCCAGAGAGCTCGCATCCACCCACACGTTCAGTTCGTCTCCCTGCACGCACCAGTCTCCTTTGGCAGGGTCATCCTGCTTTACTCTTGCGATGGTCTCCTTCACTATGCGAACCAACAGATCGTCCGTTGTTTCATCGTCCCAGCCTTTGGTGACTGCGCTTGCCCTTCTTTTTATGGTGCCTGTTGCCACACGAGTCCATCCACACACTGGTAGATGCCCCACAAGTCTTCCACACAGGGAGAATATAGCTCGCCTCGTGAAGACATCGGGTACTTCAGGAACTGCAGTTCCGCGCCCCCCATTTAAGGTCTCTCTCTCCTGTTGAACGTTCAGGCCCAAGACACGGGCACCATCCTCCAAACGTTCTGGGTCCTTACAAGTCAGACCAAACTCAGCCAGTTTGGACCTCACGCGTGATGATGGCGACACAACGTCTTCGTTGACATATATATCATCAAAAGGTACGCCGATGTCCCCTCTTTATTGTTTCTTCCTGTGACAACACAGCGTTGACGATGGTCTTCATTATTTGGGGTGCCACGTTCAGCCCGAAGCCCAGCCTAGTAAGGCAGTACCTCCTGCCGGCAAACACCAGCGTCTGAAATGGCCACATCGCCTCGCTGACCCGGACCTGCAGGTACGCTTTTCTTAGATCCAGCAGGGACACATTGGAACCCTGCTGGCGCCATTCTCGTAGCTTGCTGGCACAAACGTCAGCATCTGCCGTGAACGCATCAACATGCGCGTTTAGTTCGCGGTAGTCCATCACTGGCCTCACCTTTGCTTTGTTGTGCTGAGCAACCGCCATCAGCGGGATCAGGCCTTTGGGAGGTCCAAGTTTCTTATAGGGTAAGGGAATCAACCAGCCATCCTTGATCCATTCACGGAGCTCCCCTTCGTATGCAGGCCTTATTTGATCGGGCACATGGTACTCGGCTACCTCGTTCCGCAGTTTGGCTGGTTCCTGGTTTTTCCGACCACCTCCATGAGGTGGTCCAAGTCTTCTGCTGCTGGTCAAATTCGACACTAAAGTCCGGCTGGTCGATCCTCAGAGCTGCTCACACTGGGGCCCTCTCCTGAAACTGTACTGCCCCCCGTCTGCGTTATGTGAACACCACCTAAAGCTCTGATGGCATCATAGCCTAGAAGCAGGTCAAAACTCAGTGGTTTTTCAAACACTACTAGCGCCTCGACGTTGGCCGAGTTTCCAGTTCTTATGCGGATGTTCACCGCGCCTACACCGCAACACCTTCGTGTTTCTCCACTGATGGTGGTCACCCTGACACTCTTCTTCTTCCAAAGCGGCAGAGGTCCGCGCACACTATGGTGCTTGGAGCAACCGGAATCGAGAAGTGCTGAGCACAATGTCTCATTAATGTAGACCTGGATGATCGGAAGCGCCTCATCTAATTTCTGCTTGGGGAAGAGGTCGACGCTGGCACCTTGTCTCCAGCCCCGTTTCCCGCACAATCCCGGACCAAATGTCCAGTCTCATTACACCGGTAGCAGCGAACAGCTGTCAGTCGCCTCCTGCAGTTCCTCGCAATGTGGCCCTGGCCACCGCACCTATAACATACGACCCCACTATGGGGGCTGGGTCCCTGAAACGGTCTATCATCACTCGGCGTGGACTGTGCAGCGGCGACTACCGGTTCTCTCACCTCAGAGCTGTCTTTCATCACGGTCCTGGCCCGGTCTACCAGGTCATTAAGGGACAACGAGTCTATGCTTAAGCTCACTCGCAGGAGTTGCTTTGCTCCGGTTGGGAGCCCTACCAGAAATTTGTATGCCAAGGCCCGCTCGGGCAGTCCACGAACAACACCGTCATTTTTTGTCAGCTCGGCCAGATACCGTCGACAGTTTCGCCTGGAAGTAAAGTTCTTGCCTCGAATTGTTCCCATGCAGTGGCGGGGTCGATAGCAAACGCCTTGTATAGTGCTGCCTTGATTCTCTTATAATCTTGTTTTCCTCAGCACTGAGCTGTTGATACACAGCAAAGCCCCCCGAACAGCCGCAGAGGAATCACATGTTCAATGTTCTTTATGCCAGACAAGAGGCAATGCAATTCCACTTTTTCCACCCAGTCAAGTACCGGGGTTGAGCCATCGAACTCCGGAATCAATTTCAGGTCGAATCTGTCCCCCATTATGCCGAAATAGCTTGTCGCAAAATTCGGTCCAAACAATAGGAAGGGAACGGGTTGGTCTCGTAAAATTAGGTCCAAACAATAGGACGGGAACGGGTTGGCCCGGCACCGTCTACTTCCGGAAACACTCCTCAGCTTAACGACAGCTACAATCCAGCTACAACAACTCCACAGATCTTTGCACTCAAATGTTCCAACACCGCCTCGTAGTTCGCTACACACAACTCTCTCGAGTGGTCTCCCGCCGTCACATTTATCCCAGCGAACACCAACCAATTTGCATACGCCCAAGTTCTCCTCTCGCCAATCCTCGCGGCTACGAGATCGCGTTTCCATAAGTCCGACTCACCGTAATGGTGGTGTTTCTTTCTTCGGACCAATTACTGCCCTACACGCCAGACACAAACGAACCCTCTTATGCCGAGAACTGAGGTTAGTCTCATTTTCATGTCCACATTCATACATTTCCCAAGGGTATTTTTGTGTAAGTGAATGTAATGAATACAGCTAGAATTTGAACTCTGCTCTCTGATTTCTCATTCAGATCCATTACACCACCCCCACATCCAATCTTACAGCACATAGTATCCACAAGTGGTCATCCACCTAAGTACTATCCAAGCTTGATCTTGCTTAACTTGTTTGTTTCATCATTATCGTCATCAGCATCAGTCATTTTGAGTCCACTTTTCTATTTCCTTCCATGATTACCATGGCTTTGATCTTTTCTGCCATGCCTTACCAACAAACTCATCCAGTCTTTTTCCTTCTGTACTATTCCACCAACCTTCTACTCCACCTATTATCCTTTCTTTTTGCTATGTGACTTTCCAACATTCATTTTTTTGCTTCATTACTTCAGTGATTATGTCTTACCTTGTTTGTTCTCTATGAGTGATAATTAGCATAGATCTTTGTATGCTTTCACACAAATTTTCATATTTAATAACAAAGCTGGCATTGTATACTGATTATATACTTCATGCTGGGAGCCCATTGGCAAAGGTCTTTTTATTTTTCTACCTTCATTAAATACTTTCCAAACAAGCTTAGGAAGATATTTTAAATCATTTTCATAGACCTTTTGTTAACTTTATCACCGAAGTAGATATATTCCTGAACTTCTTTCAGTTCTTCATCCTCTATATTCATGTTCTTTTTCAAAAATGTTTGAATAGAGTGATAATTTTGTTTTATATCTATTCATATTTAAGCCTAGATTTTTCCTATTTGATTCACTTAGTATTTCTTGTAATTCTGCGATTAGTCAAAAACCACCAGAAAATTGTAGATGTTTGAAATATTCTCTGTTTTGTATTTACTCCCATTCCTTCCAAGTTCAATTTCTGAAAGATATGTTCAAGGTTTTCTCATTTCCTTGTCTCACTCATTTTCCAATTTTTATATAAATAAGTAGCCAGAATCTATCTTACATATTTATAAGTCTACCATTTGTCCTTATTTTGAATACAACTACCACATCTGATATGCTGCTCCTGCTGTATATTTAGAGATTCTTAATAAAATCCAAAGAAGAATCTGCAATTTTATTGGTTCTAACCTGGCATTGATCACTATAACATAGATTCCCTGTGCTTTTCTATAAATACTTTTATGGTAATTGTTCTGATGAACTTTCCTTTATGGTACCTAGGCATTATTTAATTTAAGCATAGTACTAGATTGGTGCAAAGTCTAACCATACTACACTTAAAATTGCTTGATGTAACCATAATTTCTATGCTGACAGTTTCTTCGATTGTACTTTTAACTTGTAGAAGTCTTGTCCGACTTATTGCTTCCCAGTGAAATTTAAGTGCCATGTCAATTATTATCTTCTGTCTTCTTAATTCTTGTTTGTTTGTTCTCTCTCCTTAATAGTATTTTTTTCTCTTATAGTATCTAGGACTGAGTAACCTCTTGCATCTTAGTGGCAATATTACCTTGCTTGGGGTAAAATGATTAAATAAAAGAAAAAGTTCAACGTTTGCTGGAAATAATTTAGACAAAATCTCCTCTCCTTGTCTCACTCCTTTTCTAACCTTTATTTCATCTCTATCCTTGTGTTAATGAGTAGATAACTGTCTGAGGTTAATCTTCCACCCTGATCCATTCAACTTGGATGAGCAACATAGCACTGTTCTCTCCACAATTTTTGCATATGCAAAATTAATATTTTTAAATATTAAATTCATATACCTGTTTATTTCCTTTTATTGAAAACTTAAATTTTGAATGAATTTTTATGATAATTTTTTGAAAACAATGAATTCCTAATAAGACCAATAAAAACATAATCACTAGCAACCTTCAAGTGTTCTTTCAGTGAGATCTGTGAAATTGTCATGCAAATAAAACAAATAAAACTGACCTGTATCTTCCCCAACATTTTTAATGGCCACCAGCTATGTAAGTCCAATGCTTGGTTGACAACTAACAAGTTTTATTCAAATCAGATTAAAAAAATAATGAAAATGACTTAAAATAGCATAAAGGAATCAGATTGGTTGCAACTGAGCCATCACTCAGCATTCTACAGAACAGCCAATGTTTACCGCCACATTGCATCGACATTTTATTTCATGCCTGTGTGTGCTGAAAACTGGGAAATACCATCTGCATGAATCACAGGAAAGGAGGAAAAATTAAAACAAATGCCATGTCAAGAAATAAGAACTAGAATCTTGTTTTCAATCTATTTAGTTTTTTTTTTTTGTTTTTTTTTTTTATCATTTCACCCCAAGCAAGGTGATAATGCCTATAGTATGCAGGAGGGTTACAAAAAGTGAAAATGAAAAAAATGAGAATAGGGAGCATTGTAGAAGAAAAAAAAAAAAGGAACAGGTTTTAAAAAGACAGATGGTGATTGATTTTTCATTTAAATTTTTAAAGATTGTATTTAACAGGGAAGCAAGAAATCAGAAGGGAGTTCCACAGGTGGGAAGTGTGAGAAAAGAAAATGTTATAGTAGAAGTGGCTGTTGCATCTAGCTATTTCACTAGTAAAATAGTGGGACCTAGTTACCAGTCTAGTAGCACTAAATTCATGTAGTCATGGCAGCAGGGAAAAAAGCTCATCAAAGAAGTCATGAACATATTTGTTGAAAAGACAGAGATAAACCAAGTCACATCAGTGATAAAGTGACTAAAGTCAGGATAACAGACTTTTCTTTGAATTTAGTCAAGAATCTCAAGATGTACAGCAAGAGCATCAGACTAAATATGGCAACAGTATTAAAAGCATGGATGAATGGTAGATTCATAAATGCGCAAAATGGAGTCTGACAAGAAAAATTTTCCAGCATGACACACTGAACCAAATTTTCTTGCAGTATACGAAACAATTGTTTCAATATAGTCACTCCACTTCATGTCAGTGGAAAACATGAGGCCAAGAAAACATAGATTCCCGCTCTCCTGAAGTCTGACATCAATCATAATGATGGCAGGCAAAAAAAAAATTCTCATGGTGATTAAGTGAAAGAAGTTTTGTTTTGGAGGTGTTAAAATATACAATCCATTTCTTGCCACAGTTAACAACTGATTGGAGGTCCTTTTCAACAGCAGTTGCCAGGCTTACTTTGTTCGGTCTGTTGGATTTGCTACTAAGGCAAAAATAAATGGTTGTCATCTGCATAATTAAATACTTGCTCAGTTTTGGTGTATAGGTGAATGTCATATGGGATCCTTGCCCATCCACAACATCACGACACATGGCTGGCAACATGAACAGGTGGCATCAGAACTGCCTGAGGGACAGTCTGTCTTCAGGTAAGGCAGATGGGAACTGACCTCCTCAGTACTTGACTATTTATTTATTCTTTTCTTCCTCTTTGATCAAGTGAGTAACACTGAGAAAACCTTCTATGTCACTGTCCCCAATCATAGTATCACAAAAGCTTTCATTTCACCTTTTTTGAAAGAGCAAGCAGTAAAGAATAAAATGGCAGAACTCAGAAGGAATCAAAGAAAGAAGACATGAGGAACACATGTAAATTAATTTTACAAAATTACTCAAAACTTCATACTTTTTCCCTTTATGCCATTACAACAATCTCATTCAGTAACCCTCTACCTTGAGTGGCTTTTGTGCCTTGTATTGGGTAAACAGTAGTATAAAAAAAAAAAACTACCTGATCTTTTCGTGCTTTGTGTTGCTATTCAACCAACATTTGCTCCATCTGTTAACCATTTTTTTTCTTCACTCCTGAGTATGACGATAAACTACATCCAGCAACAAGGCCTCTCATTGGACGTTTTGAGGAGCATGGAACCAGCTCTTAATTGCTGTTGTTCCCAGGTCTCCCTGACCCCTTGTGACAGCACCTGTTAGGGCCCCCTGCTATGAACAAATAGTGAAATCCCAAGCTAAAAAAAAACACTACGAAAGCATAATTTTTATAATAAAATTACCATCAATACATTTTTATATTACTAAATGACCATCAATACATTTTTATATTACAAAATGACCAACAATACCTATTTACAGTAAAATGACCAGCAATACAATTTTAAATCAAAATGATCAATATAACTTATTATCTGTAGTTGAAGGCATACAATTTATATTTAAAATATACTTAGGCATACAATCATGTTTAAATATATTTAGTTGAAGTCATAAAATTGTTGTTCAAAATATTTAGATTTCCACATTAAATAACCCCTGGAGGTTATTATGCAACTAACCAAAAATTATCCTTTCTTTTTGATATGCCCTGCCCATCTTCATTCAATTTTTTCTCCAACATGGTGTTTATATGGTATAGTACATTTATTATTTAACCAATAATTCTCTCTGTGGCATAAATTGTGTTAAATGCCACATCCATTCAAGATATAAACAAACTCTACACATATTCTGTATCATTATTTTCTTTGAATTGCCATCATTGTTCTTGGGAAAAATAAAAAGATTACTTTCCCTTGTTTTTTTTTTCATGGTTTTGAATTCAGAGTTCTCCTAAATTGGTTGCCTACCATTTATTATATGGTTATTATTTTTAGTTATTATTTAATTATTATTAGTTATTATTACAAGTTATTATTCAGTTATTTATTTATTTATTTGAGAAACTGTCTATGTTGCAGTGTTTCATCAAGTCTTGTGCAGGATATTTACTGAATTGATTTTAAAAATATTTGAAAAATTTGGTTTAGTGCGATGGTTTGATCTACAAGTAATCTCTCTTGTTTCATCAGCAAGTTATTGGTCTATGGTTGTTTTTATGGTTACTTATTTATGTTTATGTGTGTTTAGGGGAATTAATGGTGTAATGTCTGATCAGAATACAAGGCTAAATTTCCCATGCTTTAAAAAATTGTTTATTAATTTGTGAACTCTGAAATTATTGTTGGATGAATCAATGGTATGTGGTTTTTGATCTTTCCCAAAACATTCACTCTTCTTCTTTTTGAGGAGTGTGAGGG